GGGGTGCGGGTGCCGCGGGAAAGGTCGCAGCCTGGCCCACCCCCACCACCATCTCCCATCTTTCTCTCCTCGTTATCTGCATTGCCCTGGATGTCGCTTCTTCCTTGCACTGAACTTGCAGTTAGACTAACTAGGCAACCTCTTCTTGAGTTGTCCCCCCTCCCCTCCGCCTTTCTCCCTCCCCGTCTCCTCAACAGGCGTTTTAGTCTTTCTGCTGAGGAAGTCACTTTCGCAGCGGACCGGGCCATTCTGGTTTGCAGAGCTGAAGAAGATGATGTAAGGGGTCTGGGTGTGTGAGGTAAACTGCAACGCGCGTTTCCCACCGAAGAGACCTGCACTGCGGGCCGCCTCCAGCACCTAGTAGCGCCAGGTCGTTTGCTTACAACGTCACCCTGCAAAGTGGCATGCTGCTGTCCCCCATCTTACAGATAGGGAAACTGAGACCCCAGGAGCAGATGGTAACTTTCCTAACCCGTGTGCAGAGTTTGAACCCACCCTTGACCTACTACAGTGCTCATTTTGCTCTGAGTTCTCTCTTTAAATTGATTTCTTTCCTGCTCGATGTGGTGGGTCACGCTTGTAATCTCAGAGGCCAAGGCGGGAGGATTGATTGAGCCCAGGAGTTTGAGACCAGTCTGAGCTACACTGCCAGACTTCATCTCTTCAAAAAATAAAAACAAAAATAAGCCGGGAGTGATGGAGCCTGTAATCCCAGCTACTCAAGAGGCTGAGGCAGAAGGAATGATTGTCTGAGCTCTAGGAGGTCTATACTTCAGTGAGCCATGATGGTGCCATTGCACTCCATCCTGGGCGACAGGGATGCCAGCCTCAAAAAAAGAAAACCAAAAAAACCACAAAATTTATCTCTTTCTAAACCCCAAATGGAACCAGAGGTGAGACCTCTCAAGGCCACTTTCTCCTGAAGTTCCAGCCCAGATTCTCAGGTGAGCAGATTCTCTCCTGGGATTTGCGTAGAGGGTCTAGGTAAGGCTCAGCAATCTGCACTTAAAGAGCCCTGGACAAGCCGGGATCGGTGGCTCAGCCTGTAATCCCAGGACTTTGGGAGGCTGAGATGAGTGGATTGCCTGAGCCCGCGGGTTCGAGACCCACCTGGGCAGCGAGACTTCATCTCTACAATAAATCAAAAAATCAGCCGGGCGTGGTAGCGCGCGCCTGTAGTTCCGGCTACTTGGAAGGAGCCCAGCAGGTTGAGGCTGCGATGGAGCCCAGCAGGTCGAGGCTGCGATGGCTGGGAGCGGCCACTGCACTCCAGTCTGGGCGACAGAATGAGACTCCAACTCAAAAACAAAACAAAACAAAACAAAATAAAAAGAGCCCTGGACAGCATGGCATGCGCACACAAATCTGCCGGGAATCAGAGTAATCTCCAGCAGATGCATTTCCAGATAAGGCTGATCTTGTCAGTTTATCACTCCACCACTCTCTGGGTATGACCATCCCTCTGTGCTTTGAGACAAATGTCTCTCCTGTTTGGAGAGTGAGTTGCTGGCCTCAGGATCAGTGTGTCCTCCCTGCGCAGATGTCCGCCCCTTCAGGTACACCTGGAACGCCACACGCCTCTGCTCTTCCCAGCCACCTGGAGGGCATCAAGTCTGAAGTCCTGCAAACTAACCCCTGCACTGGGTCCCTGGTGACCCTCTGTGAATCATTCCAGCAGACCCAAAGCCGCTGGGGTAGTGAGATGTGGCAGTCACTGACTCGGTTGGTTGGAGACCAATGTTTGATCTAGTCCTACCACGGATTCACTGTATGACTTAAGTGGTTTGCCCCCCCCACCCCAGCCTTGGTTTACTCATCTGTAAAATGGAGTACATATTTCTGCTTTCCAGGGTGGTTAAATATAGTCATGTAGTTTAAATAAATAAATAGGTAAATAAATAAATAGGTAAAATGTTTGGCCCTGAGCATGGTAATAGTGACTTGCCCTAGTTATGAGCTTTTCTTTTTTGAGTTAGGGGTCTCACTGTCACCCATGATGGAGTGCAGTGGCATGATAACAGCTCTCCCGCAGCCTCCACCTCCTGACCTCAGGCAATCCTTCCTCAGCCTCCTGAGCAGCTGGAACTACAGGTGTGCACCACCATGCCCCAGCTTTTTATATTTAATTTTTAACGTTTTTTTTGTAGAGACAAAATCTCACTTTGTTGCCTAAGCTGGTCTTTTTTTTTTTTTTTTTTTGAGTTGGAGTCTCACTCTGTTGCCCAGGCTGGATTGCAGTGGCACACTCACGGCCACCGCAGCCTCGACCTGCTGGGATCAAGTGATTCTTCCTCCTCAGCCTTCCAAATAGCTGGAACTACAGGCATGTGCCACCACACAAGCCTAACTTTTTGTTTTATTCTAGAGATGAGGTCTCGCCAAGTCTCCTGGGCTTTTCTCAAACCCACGAGTTCAGGCAATCTTCTCACCTCGGCCTCCAAAGTGCTGGGATTATAGGCGGGAGCCCACCGCGCCTAGCCCTAGGCTGGTCTTGAACTCCTGGCCTCAAGCAATCCTTCTGCCTTGGCCTCCCAAAGTGTTGGGATTACAGGCGTGAGCCACTGTGCCCTGCCAAATACGGACTTTTTGAAGCTCCACCTTGTGCTTTCTGTCCTTTGCCCACACATGCTCTTTCATGGTGAGTTTGTCTGTCCCCCTGACTCTAGCTGGCCACTGCCTCTATGAAGATATCTTCTCTGTACCTCTACAGAGGTGAGGCTGAGGACTGGAGCTGGTGGCAGAGTCTTAGCTGGGCCAGGACTGGTGAGTAGAATAATCTTTTTCTTTTTTTTGAGTTGGAGTCTCACTCTGTCACCCAGACTGGAGTGCAGTGGCTGCTCCCGGCCACCGCAGCCTCGACCTGCTGGGCTCCGGCGATCCTTCTGCCTCAGCCTTTCCGATTAGCCAGAATTACAGGCACGCGCTACCACGCCCGGCTGATTTTTTGATTTATCGTAGAGATGAGGTCTTGCTGCCCAGGCGGGTCTCGAACCCGCGGGCTCAGGCAATCCACTCACTTCAGCCTCCCAAAGGCGCGGGATTACAGGCTGAGCCACAGAGCCCGGCTGAGCAGAATAATCTTAAAACTTTCTGTCCCCTGATGATTCAGTCCCAAGCACAGTCTAAGTAGTGCCATAATCAGGTGACTTTAGATAGGATTATCCTGGGTTATCCAAGGGTCCCAATCACTAAACCCTCAGAAGCAGAGGAAGGAGAAGGGTCAGAGAGATGAGATGAGGCAGAAAGTGAGGTCAGAGACAGTCAAAGGAGGGACGAGGCAGGTGGGGTCAGAGGTCTTTGACTCATGAGAAGGACTCTACCCAGCACTGCTGGCTCTGAAGGGGGCCACAAGCCAAGGACCACAGGCAACCGCTGGAGACTGAAACGAACTTGCTGACAGCCAGCAAGGAAACAAGGACCTCAGTCCTACCATGGCGTGGAACCGAGTTCTGCCAACAGCCTGAATGAGCTTGGAAGCGGACTCAATTCCACAGCCTCCAGAAAGTACTGCAACCTTCCTGACTCCTGGATTTCATCTGTGGGGTAAGACTTGGAGCACAGGAGCCAGCCAACTCCACATGGACCTACAGAACTTTCATGGGATACATTGCTGCTGTTCTAAGCCTCCAAGTTTATGGTCATTGTTACACAGCAAGAGGAAACCAACATATCAGGTGAAATGCCCAGGTTGGCAGGCGCCTCATGTGGTCAAAGGTCTGGTGCGCATAGAGGCTGGGAGGCCAAGGGCAGAGAGCAGGCCTATCTTATCCATGGTCAACGTCATTGCCTCTCAAAGAGATGTGTTGGACCCTGCTTCACGTGCTTCATGTAAATAAACTGTGACCGGGCTCGGTGGCTCAGCCTGTAATCCCATGCTTTGGGAAGCTGAGGTGAGTGAATTGCCTGAGCTCACGCGTTCGTGACCCACCTGGGCAACTTGGTGAGACTTCATCTCTACAATAAATCAAAAATTAGCCGGGTGTGGTAGCGCGCGCCTGT